GCACAGACTGGAGCACAGAACGAAGCACATCGCTCTGCGTTACTTTCTGGCTCGAGAGTTGCAGCAGCGTGGTCAGCTTCGTCTTGCTCACGTGGCCACCACGGCCAACACTGCTGATATATTCACCAAGGCACTTCCGCCTGGTGATCATCAGCGCTTTTGTACTTTGTTGGGCCTCGTGCCTACGTTTCCTCACTTGCTGTAGGCTTTGCTTGTACTGTGATCTATGTATATATACCTGCATGCTTGCTCTTGCTAGGTAGTGATCACTGTACTGTTGTTGCACATATACCTCTGCATGTGAACTGGCCTTGTGGCCCTTTGCTTAGGCTCAGAATGCGTGGTGACTTTGTGATCCACCCTGAGCTTGCTTTGCCTTTCTTGACTGGTCCTGTGACCTCTTGTTCTCCCCCACTTTGCCTATGGGGGTGTGTCAAACATATATGCTGCTTATTGTGTAGGCTGTAGTGGGGTAGCCCATATGGGGTACAACCCAGATTAGGGTTTCCTACTTGTACCCATCATGCTGCTAGTTCATTCATTCCTGCCTAGACTTCTGACACCTTAGCCCGCCGCCGCGCCTGCTCGTTAGGCCCGTTGCGGGCCCTCTCTTTGCGCCCGTCGCACCTGCGTTTTGCGCCCACCGCGGGCCTGCACTCGCCGCCCGCCGTCCCTACCCCTACCTGCCCGCCGCGCCTCCCCTTTGAGCCCGCCGGGGGCCTGCGTTCTTGCGCTTACCGCGTCTTCCCTTTGCGCCTGCCATTGCGCCCTACCGGTCTTGTCGCTTCTGCTTTCGCTATGGCAACCCCTAGGGTCCTTCGTTTTGACGCCGAGGGTAGGCCCCTCGAGTTCTCTGTCTGGCTCCAGCGTGCGCAGCGTCTCCTAGAGAGTCAGGTGCAGGCAGATGAGTCCCTGTGGGCGCACGCATCCGGTGACCTCCCGCGCCCCCCGCTCCTGCTACCCTAGGACCTGACGCGACCACTGCGGACAGAGAGCGTGCTGCGCGTCAGCGTGCTGACTTGACTGCCTGGCAATCGCGCGACGCTGCGGCCTGCATCGCCCTCAGCAGCCTCCTTCCCGAGTCCGAGGAGACCCATTACGCACAGGTTCGCACGGCTCAGGAGTTTCTGACTGCGATTAAGGCACGCTATGCTACTCCTTCCACGTCGCCTGTTCCTCCCTTTCCGGTTCCCAGACCTCGCCTCGTTTGAGCGCTCTGCTGACCTTATTGCCCACCTGCGCACACTTGACGCTAGCTTTCGCGCTGCTTGCACTGACGCCCAGCTTGCACTGCTGCCTCCCCCCATGGCGATCACTATCTATTTCATCGCCACTAGCCTCCCTGACCGCCTTGCTTCGGTTCGTGACGCGCTTCTTCTGAAGCACCCTAGCGAGCTCACTATCGGCGTCCTTGAGTCTGCGCTCAAGGACATCGAGAGCAACCTCCGCTCCGTAGCCTCCGCCTCTGGTGCTGTGCCCCCTCCCCTGTTTCACGGGTGCACTGTCCCTCAGCTGCCCACCTTTACTGCCTCCCTCGCCACTGCTGCTACTGACGTGACCGCAGCTGCTGTTACGACTTCTTTGCGGTCCCGGGGTAGGGGTGGCGCGAGGAGCGGCCAGGGTGCGGGCGTGGGTGGCGGAGGCGGCGGCGGCGGCGGGGGTGCCGTGGCGAGCGGTGGAGGAGGGAGTGCAGCGGCTGGAGGAGCGTCTCGTGCGGTGACCAGTGACTCCCCTGCTGCAGCTAGTGGAGGTGCCGCCCCGCTTCGTCTGCCAGCCTCCGGGGGTGGAGCAGCGGCGTGGTACCTGACTCAGCGACAGCAGCAGCAGCAGCAGCAGCCCCTCCCCTCGAAGCGGCCCCCGCAGCAGCAGCGACAGCAGCAGGTTTTGGGGCAGGGGTCAGGACAGCGTCAGCTCCAGCGCAGTGTCGTTCACCCTCCGTGCACCTATCAGGTTCTGACAGGCGCCCGCCGGGGCCAGCCCTGTGGCCGCACCCACCCATCGAGTCAGTGCTTTGCTCAGCTTACTGACACCGTTCGCTTGGCCTACGGCGTTGACGACCCTGCCCCTGACTAGTTTCCTCTTATTCAGTCGCACGGCCTCGCTCTCTGGGGCATGTCTGCTTCTCAGTTGATTGATCTGTTAGGAACTCCTCATGCTATGTATGCTGTTGTTGACTCTAGTGCTTCTGACTCTGTTTACTCGAGTGTTGTTAGCTTAGGTGCTAGTCTTGCTGAGTTGCCTGTTGCTAGTGTAGGTTCTTGTGTAGACACTAGTATAGGAGCTGCTTCGGAGGACGCTTCGCTGTCTTTCACTCTGGACTCTGGGGCTTCGCACTGTTTCTTCCGCGACCACACGATGCTCACACCGCTTCCTGCGCCGGTCTCTGTAGCACTGGCTGATCCCACTTCGGGACCAGTCACTGCTCGCTACACTACTACTCTTCCGTGCCCTGCTGTTCCCTACTAGTCTCTGACCGACTTCCACGTCCCCTCGTTCTCAAGGAACTTGGTGGGCGTGCGGCCTCTTGTGATTCAGCACGCGGGTGTGTGGATAGGGACTCGTACGCGCCTCTTGCCACCTTTACTGCTGAGCCGGGCTTTGGTCTCTACACACTTCCCACTGGCCCTGGTGGGCAGCAGCGGCAGCAGCAGCTCTTGCCCCCGGCCCTTCTCCCTGCCCCCCGTTAGGTCCCCGTGTCTCACCAGGTTGCCGTGTCCCCCCAGGTAGCTGTGTCTGGTCTGGTTGCGGCGTCTTGCTCCTGCCGGTCGCTTGCCCACCCCACCGTTCTGTGGCACCACCGGATGGGGCACCCGTCCATTCCTCGTCTGCGCGCTATGTCTAGTCAGCGTCTTGTCTTAGGCCTCCCGCGTGTCTTGCCGTCGCTGCCGCCTTCGCTTGCACCACCGTGCGGTCCTTGCGTCGAGGGTCGGCTGCACGCCACCCCTCATTCCTCCTCCTTGCGTCCGGCCTCCTTTTGAGACTCTCCACTTGGACGTCTGGGGCCCCGCCTCTCGCCTTGGCCCTGAGCGTGAGCATTTCTTTCCGGTGGCCGTTGACGACTACTCCCGCTACACCACAGTGTTTCCCCTGGCGAAGAAGTCTGAGGTGACTTCTACGCTGATCCGGTGGTTGCTTACCACTGCAGACACTCGTGGTCGTCATATCAGCTGTCTGCGGTGGTTGCTTGCCACTCGTAGTGGCACGACACCCTTCGTTCTACCCTGTCTGACCTTGGTTTCCAGCCGTCTTCTGCTGACCCGTCGCTGTTCGTTCGTCGTGGCACCACACTGTTCTTTGTTTTGGTCTACGTCGACGTCTTGGTCTTCGCCACTGCTGACAGGGTTGCCTTGGCAGACGTGAAGTCTGAACTGCAGAAAAGACACACGTGCACTGACCTTGGTGAGCTGCGCCACTACCTTGGCCTGCAGATCACCAGGGACAGAGCTGCTCGCACCATTACACTCTCACAGTCACACATGGTGCAGCAGGTCCTTCAGCGGTTCGAGCTTCAGCACTCCACAGTACAGCGCACACCTCTTGCTGTTGACCACAGACTCACTGGACCCTTTCCTGACGAGCCGTTTGAGCCTAGTGGTCCCTACGCAGAGCTGGTGGGCTGCCTCATGTACCTGATGACTTGTACTCGCCCGGACCTTGCCTTCCCTCTCAGCATCCTTGCTCGCTTTGTTGCGCCAGGGAGACACCGTCCTATTCACTGGACGACAGCTGTGAGGGTGGCGAAGTACCTAGCGACGACTTCAGTCGTGAGGCTGGTTCTTGGAGGGCAGCAGTCTGTCGTACTTACTGGTCACTGTGACTCTTCTTACGCTGAAGACGCTGAGACTCAGAGGTCTACTCAGGCGTATTGTTTCAGCCTGGGTTCTGGAGCTGTTTCTTGGAGGTCCACGCGTTCCTCTTCGGTCTCGACCTCTACAGCTGAGGCTGAGATCTACGCTGGTGCCATGGCGGCACAGGAGCTGCGCTGGTTGACCTTCTTGCTCACTGACCTTGGCGAGCGGCCGAGCTCTGCACCGACCTTGTTCACTGACAACAAGGCGTCGATTCTCCTCTGTCGGGAGACATCTTCACCAAGGCACTTCAGCCTTGTGACCACGAGAGGTGTTGTGTGCAGTTAAGCCTTGTTGACACAGTCGGGAGACATCTTCACCAAGGCACTTCAGCCTTGTGACCACGAGAGGTGTTGTGTGCAGTTAAGCCTTGTTGACACAGGTTCTCGTTGTGCCTAGACTTGAGTTATCGGCTTTCTTTGCTTGTACACTTTACTTATATCTTTGTGAACTCTTGGACTGGCCTTGTGGCCTTGTGCTCGGAGTGTGTGGTGACGTTGTGATCCACCCTGAGCTTTGTTTCTTTGTGACTGGTCTTGTGACCGTACGCTTTTGGTTTTGCTTGACACCCCTCACTTAGGCTATGGGGGTGTATCAGATGTTGTAGCCTGTAGTGAGGCTTGACTTAAGGGGTACAGATATTAGGGTTTGCTATATGTACTCCAACTCACATCAATGAATACATCATTCAGTTTCTGACAGTAACCTGCTGTCAAACTACTATGTCTATATACTAGTTAGGCTGTAGTGAGGCACATCTTAGGGGGGTTCAAAGCCTATATCTCTCGACACTCTTGTACCACGCCCACTTCACTGGTCTACCAAATGTTTCTCCCCATATACATTAGACTCTGAGATGATATCCGTCGTAGGTAAGTTGCTAGCCTAGAAGCGCGCCCCGTCCCAAGAGAGCATGGTGGCATGGTGGCGGAGAGAGGGAGACGCAGCACAGCGATGGGGAAGCGGAAAAAACAGATGAAGCAGATGCAGCAAAGGCAGAGGCGGAGCGTGTCGGGCCAAGGCGGTTCACTTCCTGGCGGAGGCAGGCGCCTCAAAAGTTGGAGGTGGAGGAGGGGTGTGGTGTGGTGTGGAGTGGAGGGGTGTGGTGTGGAGTGGAGGGGTGTGGTGTGGAGTGGAGGGGTGTGGTGAGAAATGGGGTCACTTCCTGGTGGAGGCGGCGTGGCGGCGGAGAGCAGCATAGAAGGCGAGGCGCAGCGCAGCGATGAACGCCGCAATCACGAGCACGTTGCGCCACGGGCTCAAGCCTGTGAACCCCCGCGCGTCCAGATACGCTGCACCCGTGAGCCCACAGGCGTCGTTGGTGGCGGATGCGGTGTAGCCGACGCCAGCGGCGGGGGAGAAGGTGGAGAAGCAGGTGGGGCCGAGCCCCTGGTGGAACTCGGCCCAGAGCAGCAGCTCCATGGGGTAGCGCATGAGACTCACGTAGTACAGCCACAGCCAGTAGCCCGGGATGGCCGACCTGGGGGGAGGGGGGAGGGAGGAGGTGAAAGCATGTTCGGGAGGGAGTTGAGGGGCAGCACATGGGGCAGCACATGGGGCAGCACATGGGGCAGCACATGGGGCAGCACATGGGGCAGCACATGGGGCAGCGCATGGGGCAGCACATGGGGCAGCACATGGGGCAGCACATGGGGCAGCACATGGGGCAGCACATGGGGCAGCACATGGGGCAGCGCATGGGGCAGCACATGGGGCAGCACATGGGGCAGCACATGGGGCAGCACATGGGGCAGCACATGGGGCAGCGCATGGGGCAGCGCATGGGGCAGCACATGGGGCAGCACATGGGGCAGCACATGGGGCAGCACATGGGGCAGCACATGGGGCAGCGCATGGGGCAGCGCATGGGGCAGCGCATGGGGCAGCACATGGGGCAGAGCATGGGGCAGCACATGGGGCAGCACATGGGGCAGAGCATGGGGCAGCACATGGGGCAGCGCATGGGGCAGCACATGGGGCAGAGCATGGGGCAGCACATGGGGCAGAGCATGGGGCAGCACATGGGGCAGAGTAGCAGCACATGGGGCAGCGCATGGGGCAGCGCATGAGAGTGAGGTCGTACAGCCACAGCCAGTACGCTGGTATGGCCGACCTGAGGGGAGAGTTGGGAGGACAGGGAGGGCAAACAAAGATTAGCATAAGGGAAGTGGATGTACAAATAGGGAATGCGAGGGCACGGGTGAGAGGGCACGGGTGAGAGGGCACGGGTGAGAGGGCACGGGTGAGAGGGCACGGGTGAGAGGGCACGGGTGAGAGGGCACGGGTGAGAGGGCACGGGTGAGAGGTGAAAAGTGAGACAGCAAGGAGAGATACGGGCAGGAGAGGGCTGGCGAGGGGAGATATGGGCAGGCGAAGGGTGGCGAGGGGAGGGGGCTGACTTGGAGAAGAAGAAGCCGGAGAAGAGGAGGAAGAAGGAGAAGGCGCTGCTGGCCACCGTGCCCGCCACCATGTGCGACGGCAGCAGCGCTGACAGCAGCGTGACAAACGCGTTGGCGAGTGCAAAGGCGAGGCAGAGCGTGGCGATGAAGAGAAGGAAGGCGGACGCCGAGGGCGCCAACCCCACCATCCAGTAGAGCGGCGCCGCGAGGGCGAGCGAGAGCAGCAGGAAGAGCGGCAGCGTGGTGAGCGTCGTGGCGAGCACATAGGGTGCCGTGCGGTAGGCGCCTCGTGAGGTCTCACGAGTGAAGATGGTTCGCTCCTGGTGGAGGGGGAGGGAGGGGAGGGAGGGGAGATGGGTATGAAGATGGGATGGATTGTATCCGGTACAAGTGCAGTGCAGATACAAGTGGGATACAGTTGCATGCAGGGGCGAAGCGAAACAAGTGGCTCACGAGGTAGAAGAGTGGCAGGGCGTCAAGGGAGTTGTAGAAGACGAGGGCGATGGTGAAGCCCAGCACTGCAAAGCGGCTCTGCAGCCCCGCCATGTCCCGCCCCACACTGCGGAACAGCGACCCCATGATCACCCCCATCGCCACCTGCCATGTGCACATGCGCACATGCACGCATACATGAAGAGGGTGTGCTTTGGTCGGATGGGTATGGTGGAGAGGTGGCGAGGGAAGAGCGAGTCCATGATGAACGCCATGGCTACCTGCCATGTGCATGCAAGCTTAGAAGCGGTACGATAGGGGGAGGGTGGGGAGAGAGTGGGGTACGATGGAGAGGCGGTGCAGCAGGTGGTGGGTGCGCGGAAGATGGTGGGTCGGAGGGACGTGCGATGAGAGAGAGGGTGGGGAATGGCGGAGAGGCAGTGAAAGGAGAGCGACCCTGTGGTCACCATGAGCGCGTGGTCAACCCCCATGAGTGTGTGGTCAACCCCCATGAGTGTGTGGTCAACCCCCATGAGTGTGTGGTCAACCCCCATGAGTGTGTGGTCAACCCCCATGAGTGTGTGGTCAACCCCCATGAGTGTGTGGTCAACCCCCATGAGTGTGTGGTCAACCCCCATGAGTGTGTGGTCAACCCCCCATGAGTGTGTGGTCAACCCCCATGAGTGTGTGGTCAACCCCCATGAGTGTGTGGTCAACCCCCATGAGTGTGTGGTCAACCCCCATGAGTGTGTGGTCAACCCCCATGAGTGTGTGGTCAACCCCCATGAGTGTGTGGTCAACCCCCATGAGTGTGTGGTCAACCCCCATGAGTGTGTGGTCAACCCCCATGAGTGTGTGGTCAACCCCCATGAGTGTGTGGTCAACCCCCATGAGTGTGTGGTCAACCCCCATGAGTGTGTGGTCAACCCCCATGAGTGTGTGGTCAACCCCCATGAGTGTGTGGTCAACCCCCCATGAGTGTGTGGTCAACCCCCCATGAGTGTGTGGTCAACCCCCCATGAGTGTGTGGTCAACCCCCATGAGTGTGTGGTCAACCCCCCATGAGTGTGTGGTCAACCCCCCATGAGTGTGTGGTCAACCCCCATGAGTGTGTGGTCAACCCCCCATGAGTGTGTGGTCAACCCCCATGAGTGTGTGGTCAACCCCCATGAGTGTGTGGTCAACCCCCATGAGTGTGTGGTCAACCCCCATGAGTGTGTGGTCAACCCCCATGAGTGTGTGGTCAACCCCCATGAGTGTGTGGTCAACCCCCATGAGTGTGTGGTCAACCCCCCATGAGTGTGTGGTCAACCCCCCATGAGTGTGTGGTCAACCCCCATGAGTGTGTGGTCAACCCCCATGAGTGTGTGGTCAACCCCCCATGAGTGTGTGGTCAACCCCCATGAGTGTGTGGTCAACCCCCCATGAGTGTGTGGTCAACCCCCCATGAGTGTGTGGTCAACCCCCCATGAGTGTGTGGTCAACCCCCCATGAGTGTGTGGTCAACCCCCCATGAGTGTGTGGTCAACCCCCCATGAGTGTGTGGTCAACCCCCCATGAGTGTGTGGTCAACCCCCATGAGTGTGTGGTCAACCCCCATGAGTGTGTGGTCAACCCCCCATGAGTGTGTGGTCAACCCCCCATGAGTGTGTGGTCAACCCCCATGAGTGTGTGGTCAACCCCCATGAGTGTGTGGTCAACCCCCATGAGTGTGTGGTCAACCCCCATGAGTGTGTGGTCACCCCCCATGAGTGTGTGGTCAACCCCCCATGAGTGTGTGGTCAACCCCCCATGAGTGTGTGGTCAACCCCCCATGAGTGTGTGGTCAACCCCCCATGAGTGTGTGGTCAACCCCCCATGAGTGTGTGGTCAACCCCCCATGAGTGTGTGGTCAACCCCCCATGAGTGTGTGGTCAACCCCCCATGAGTGTGTGGTCAACCCCCCTGAGTGTGTGGTCAACCTCCATGAGTGTGTGGTCAACCTCCATGAGTGTGTGGTCAACCCCCCATGAGTGTGTGGTCAACCCCCCATGAGTGTGTGGTCAACCCCCCATGAGTGTGTGGTCAACCCCCCATGAGTGTGTGGTCAACCCCCCATGAGTGTGTGGTCAACCCCCCATGAGTGTGTGGTCAACCCCCCATGAGTGTGTGGTCAACCCCCCATGAGTGTGTGGTCAACCCCCCATGAGTGTGTGGTCAACCCCCCATGAGTGTGTGGTCAACCCCCCATGAGTGTGTGGTCAACCCCCCATGAGTGTGTGGTCAACCCCCCATGAGTGTGTGGTCAACCCCCCATGAGTGTGTGGTCAACCCCCCATGAGTGTGTGGTCAACCCCCCATGAGTGTGTGGTCAACCCCCCTGAGTGTGTGGTCAACCCCCCTGAGTGTGTGGTCAACCCCCCTGAGTGTGTGGTCAACCCCCCATGAGTGTGTGGTCAACCCCCCATGAGTGTGTGGTCAACCCCCCATGAGTGTGTGGTCAACCCCCCATGAGTGTGTGGTCAACCCCCCATGAGTGTGTGGTCAACCCCCCATGAGTGTGTGGTCAACCCCCCATGAGTGTGTGGTCAACCCCCCATGAGTGTGTGGTCAACCCCCCTGAGTGTGTGGTCAACCCCCATGAGTGTGTGGTCAACCCCCATGAGTGTGTGGTCAACCCCCATGAGTGTGTGGTCAACCCCCATGAGTGTGTGGTCAACCCCCATGAGTGTGTGGTCAACCCCCCATGAGTGTGTGGTCAACCCCCATGAGTGTGTGGTCAACCTCCCATGAGTGTGTGGTCAACCCCCATGAGTGTGTGGTCAACCCCCCATGAGTGTGTGGTCAACCCCCCATGAGTGTGTGGTCAACCCCCCATGAGTGTGTGGTCAACTCCCCATGAGTGTGTGGTCAACTCCCCATGAGTGTGTGGTCAACCCCCCATGAGTGTGTGGTCAACCCCCCATGAGTGTGTGGTCAACCCCCCATGAGTGTGTGGTCAACCCCCCATGAGTGTGTGGTCAACCCCCCATGAGTGTGTGGTCAACCCCCCTGAGTGTGTGGTCAACCCCCACGAGTGTGTGGTCAACCCCCACGAGTGTGTGGTCAACCCCCCTGAGTGTGTGGTCAACCCCCCTGAGTGTGTGGTCAACCCTCCATGAGTGTGTGGTCAACCCCCCATGAGTGTGTGGTCAACCCCCCATGAGTGTGTGGTCAACCCCCATGAGTGTGTGGTCAACCCCCATGAGTGTGTGGTCAACCCCCCATGAGTGTGTGGTCAACCCCCCATGAGTGTGTGGTCAACCCCCCATGAGTGTGTGGTCAACCCCCCATGAGTGTGTGGTCAACCCCCCATGAGTGTGTGGTCAACCCCCCATGAGTGTGTGGTCAACCCCCCATGAGTGTGTGGTCAACCCCCCATGAGTGTGTGGTCAACCCCCCATGAGTGTGTGGTCAACCCCCCATGAGTGTGTGGTCAACCCCCATGAGTGTGTGGTCAACCCCCCATGAGTGTGTGGTCAACCCCCCATGAGTGTGTGGTCAACCCCCCATGAGTGTGTGGTCAACCCCCCATGAGTGTGTGGTCAACCCCCATGAGTGTGTGGTCAACCCCCATGAGTGTGTGGTCAACCCCCATGAGTGTGTGGTCAACCCCCATGAGTGTGTGGTCACCCCCCATGAGTGTGTGGTCAACCCCCCATGAGTGTGTGGTCAACCCCCCATGAGTGTGTGGTCAACCCCCCATGAGTGTGTGGTCAACCCCCCATGAGTGTGTGGTCAACCCCCCATGAGTGTGTGGTCAACCCCCCATGAGTGTGTGGTCAACCCCCCATGAGTGTGTGGTCAACCCCCCATGAGTGTGTGGTCAACCCCCCTGAGTGTGTGGTCAACCTCCATGAGTGTGTGGTCAACCTCCATGAGTGTGTGGTCAACCCCCCATGAGTGTGTGGTCAACCCCCCATGAGTGTGTGGTCAACCCCCCATGAGTGTGTGGTCAACCCCCATGAGTGTGTGGTCAACCTCCCATGAGTGTGTGGTCAACCCCCATGAGTGTGTGGTCAACCCCCCATGAGTGTGTGGTCAACCCCCCATGAGTGTGTGGTCAACCCCCCATGAGTGTGTGGTCAACTCCCCATGAGTGTGTGGTCAACTCCCCATGAGTGTGTGGTCAACCCCCCATGAGTGTGTGGTCAACCCCCCATGAGTGTGTGGTCAACCCCCCATG